ACGTCTTTTTAATGGAGTTTCACAGTGACAAAATACATCGAAAAAAAACTTTCTCTTTAATTACAATGTAATTATAATGTATACAAAAAATATAATGCATAAAATTCAAATTTCTAATTTTATTTCACGCCCAATACGAATTATAAATGGCAACCATCGAGTAAATTTTGTTATCATTTTTTTTTATTTTCAGTTTAAACCTTTTAGGAACCTTATGGGTAACCCGTCAAATCGCCAGCTTCTTTGGCCCTGATAAAAACCAGATAAAACCCAAACGAACAAACATGCTTGATTTTATTACCATATAAACACCCGTCAGGAAACCAACACACTTACCCGTCAAAATCCCATTTCCGTAAGCCCAGACAAAAACCATTCGGGTCCCGTCTGTCAATGTGGGCTGGGTACATGTTAAAGTAACTAATTATTAACAATTTTAATTCTTTACATAATCAAGTTGTATGTAAAATTATATATTTTTAAATATCTTTATGCAATTTTCACATAGTTTATATTATTTAAAAACATCTCATTTTATTTACAAACTTTTGATTTGTGTTATTAATTTTAATTTATGAAGTAACCAAGTGTAAGAGTTATTTCACATAATTATATGGAGGCCATTAATTCTAAATAGTTATATTATTAATCATTATCGCTAATTAGTACTTGTGTTAGTAACACTTATTGGTATGAATGACTAGAAGTAATGGCTGATGAAAATGAAAAATGATTCTTGCTAAATATAGAATCTAAAAACCTTACTGTGCTTTAAAGCACAGTAAGCTTTTTAGCATGAAGAAATAGACTTCAGTTTTTTAGCCATTGCCAGTATTCATTTAATCATTACTATGTACCTTAAATCTTACGGACCAGAAATGAATATTGAAATTACATGCCTAGCATGCAGTAATAGTGCATAAAAAACAAGGAATAGTCAGGGAATTCAGATGTTTACAAAAAAGATATGTGCCTTTTTCAAACTAAATTGAAATTTAAAAATATACAGAAAAAACATTTAGATGGAGGCAATAATATCTGACTTACTATGCAAGATATTTTTAAATACTCTGTAAAAATCCCTTGCAACTATTTAGGCTATTGTTAACAAAATCTTACATAGTTTACAACTATGTAAGTTTTTATTTATTTATTTTCCGCATCTAAACAATTTGTTGTTGTTTTTTCGTTTTTTTAAATTTCAGTTTAAGTCTACGAAGGTCGTTTCTTTTGATTAAAAAAACTTTTCAATATTTTCAATTTAATTTCAAATTCAATTCAAGTTCAATTCAAAAACATATTTTCACTCAAGTTCTAGCTTAAAAAATTTAAACCTTTTTTTACATGATGATGAATACATGTGGTAAATATAGTAGTATATAGTCCTTTAAAATTTATTACAGAATGTTAAAATAGGGAATAAAACTACATGCCTAGCACATACACATACAAACATACACACATATGCACATACACACACACATATATACATATATATATATATATATATACATACATACATGTATGCACACAAATATGCACACAATTATGTTATATATTTAAACACAACCAAAAAGAGAACAAAATTTGATATATAGAAGCTCAGAATTAACAAAATAAAAAAAGTACAAGATTTATGAACAGTATTTTTCTGACAAATAATTAGAGACCAGTTTTAAATTTGGAGATTGATTTAATAGATTTTAGTTGGGAGGGGAGGGTGTTCCATGTTTTTATGCTTTTATGTTGTATGGATTCATAGCCATAATGAACAGTATGATATTTAGGAACAGATAACTTGAATTTGCTAGAAGATCGTAAGATATATTTTAAATTATCTTTATAATTAAAAAAGTTTGAAAATGTAAGGGGCAAATTATTTTGGCATAGGTTCCAAACAAACAGGCAATTTGATAGTTGGATTAGGTCACACAATTTAAGAATTTTTGATAGATAATATATGTATGTTAATGTATGTTAGAGTTTGATTTAGTTTTCTAGAAATACATTATTTTTAGGGCTTTGTTTTGTAGATGAGTTAGCCTTTAAAAAGCATGGCGATGAGATTGACCCCAGACTTAACAAGCATATATGAGATGAGTATGAAAAATAGCATGATATATATTGAACAGAGTTTCTAGATTTACATAATGACGTATTTTAGATAACATTCCGTTCGATCGACTTAATTTTAATGCTAGGTCTTGAAGATGTGATGCAAAGGATAAATTAGAATCTATTTTGATACCAAGATATTTTATAGAAATAACGAAATTTATTTTCTGTCCACTTAACTAAATTAAGATGTTTATTTTCTTTTGTTTAAATTGATTTAAATATAATAATTTCTGTTTTCTTAGAGTTAAGGGATAATTTGTTGGAGTCATTGAACAATGTTGGCTAGATCGTGATTCATATGTTTATTAAAATTTTTAAAAGATTTATTAATTAGGAGCAAATTGGTGTCATCCGCAAAGTGGTAGGCAGTCGAATACTTAAATGAAACATTTAGATCATTGATAAAAAGAAGAAAAAGTAAGGGTCCTAGTATCGAGCCTTGCGGAACACCATTAAAAGAGTTAGCAAGGTTTGAGTTGATACCATTAATTGAGACAAATTGTTTTCTATTATAGAAATACGAGGAAAACCAGAGAAGAGGAATACCTTAGAAAGGCTAGCAAGGAATCAAATTATTTTCTAATAAATTTTAACAATAAAAATAAAAGTGCAATGGTGTTTTTTTAATTAACTAAAACGTTTTTTGTTTACTAAAACAACCATAACTCCCACATAAATAACTTTTTTAATTTTTTTTTTCGCCAAGGTTTATCTCCGATTGAATTAGAAAAAAGTTCTCTTTTCACAATTTTTTTATACATAATACTTTTCGGGTTGAATATATTTTGACGATAAGGAATTTACGAAATTAAGCAAATACAAATATATAACTATATGGCTAGTCCAAGATAAAGACAAATTCAGCCTTACCACTAAGTCCCTTAAAATAAAAGTGTCAAAAAAATAAATAAATATATATATATAAATGTATATACACAAAAATAAATATATACACAAAAACAAATATATACACAAAAATAAATATATATATATACACAAAAATAACTATATATATATATAGACAAAAATAAATATATATATACATAAAAATAAATATATGTATACACAAAAGTGTAATGTATCCAAAAGTATATGAATACAAATAAAAAAGGCTTTTGATGAAGTTTTTCTTTACTTGTTTTACATTTATAAAACTTTCGAATTTATAAATTTAAAAGGTTTGTTAATTTAAAACAAGTTGAACAAAATTTTATCAAAAACCTATTAAATTTGTATTTATTCATTTGGATATATTTCACTATAATATTGCTAAAAATATGTTTCTTTCATTTTATTATTTAGCTATTTCATTTTAGTTTCTTTGTTTTGTCTCAAATCTATTTGAACTTATTTAAATTTACCTAAACAATGCGGACATTTATATTCTAAATAAAAAACTGCATTACAAGAACTTTTTCCTCAATTCAGTTGAAACTAATATTAGTTAATCCAAAAAAACAAATCATATCAATTTACTTCTGTTTATTTAATCAAAGAAACTTGAATCCAGTCTCAAACGTCAATGTTGTTCTAAAGATGTTTTCTTTGCTGCTGTTAGGAATTGTAACGGAGAAAAGTCTTTTTTAAATTCAAACAGGGTATTGAAAAAAAGGGAAACTGCTACAATTCTAATAGCAGACAAAAAAAAATGCCTTTCAGCGCTCGCATTTACTTGTTCGTTTTTGGACAATGCAGTAATTTTAATTAGCAATATATTAGCATATAAAAAAATCGACTTAAAAACAGATGCTATTTTTTTCGGGGAGGGGAGAGGGGGCCTGGAGAGGCCACAACCGTTATTTTGCTGGGGGGCCAGGATGATTTAAAGACCTGGCCTGAATAAAGTATGATAAAATTTTTTCCAGAGAATTTTGGAAGTAAATGCATTCGTTTATAAAAAGAACTCCTTTTCAATTTATTTGTTATAACTAATCATGGCTTTACAGGGTTGGACTGGGCCGCTGATATCTTACTTACAATGGGCCACTAATATAAAAGGCAGTTGCTGCTACTTAGCTACAATAAAAATATATGGAGGAAAAGTTATTTGTAAATTAAGATAGTGGGTATCATAGAAATATAAATTACATATTTACATGATATATAATTTATTTAAGTTATAATATGTCGTACATTGTATACGGTATTAGTATTACGGTGTTTTATGCGCGGCAACGTAATATTCTATAGTAATGAGTTAAATAACACATTATTTATATATTATACGATTTTTTTTTTTTTTAAGATTTTACAGAGGGCCGCTAGAAATATTATCCCCCGGGCCGCCACAAAAAGCTAGTCCAACCCTGTGGCTTTAATAAGTGACTTTAAAACTCTTGCCTTTAACTTTTTTTAAACGAAATTTTTTTCATTACGCGAAAACTCCGATATTAATTATTTTCACGAAACTAAAATTAAATGTTCTTACAATTATCCAAATAAATTAAAAAGAATTCTATTTAAGAATGTTATCTACGAAAGCGACGATCAAACTAGAATTCTACAAGTATCAGAAGCATTAATTGCAATTTTGAAAAGTTACAAATTTACTTGAGCAAACTAAATACTTTTTTAATATTGTTTGCTCAACTGAAACCTGGGCTACCTAAAATGACATAAATAAAATTCGTATTTTTATCTTTCTCATTTTGAAAAGATCTCTCTTGAACGGCAAATAAATAAACACGGTGGAGGAGCTCTAATTTACGTTCATGAAAATATAAGGCATTTTTGTAGAAATGATCTTTGCGATGGGGAAATATTAACAATTGTGACGCAATTTACAAACAAATTTAATCAACCCACGTGATTAAAAACTCTGAATATCACATACCTTATGACAATGATTTATAAGCAAATAACAACTAGCGATTTATTTGTATTATCAGATTATCAGTTATCAGTTGTCTAACTTGAAGGTTATAAGCAGAACTATATTTAAAAAACTATATTTAAAAAGTCGTGTTAAAAAACATTAAGGTAATAGAAATAAAATTCTTTGTTCTTGATAACATATGTTTTTGAAAGTACAACATTTTTTATTGACGCATTGCAAGACCTACTAATTAAATTGACTCATTTATGATTATAGGTATTATTTATTATTGTTATTTTTACTTTGAAGCAGCTGCGTTTCCCAGAAGCAACTTATACGGGTAAATAATTTTTGTACAAACTTGAAAATAGAATTGAATTTTTTTTGGAAATAGAGTTAAAGTTACTTTTCTGCAAATAACAAAGTAAGTTATAAATACTACTTTGTTATTTGCTTTGTTATTGAACAGAAATTCAATATCAAAGCAAATAACAAAGTAGTATTTATAACTGCAACACTACTGATAAATGTATAGTTTTTTACGTAGTTACGGAGATCATCTTTACCTCTATTATCTCTATTTGCATTATAGTTGCATCAGAGCCGAAAACATCGGTAGGAAGAAGGAAGGAGGATGGGGGCACCCCCCTCCTTCAATTTTTTTCTAAAGGACCTTTTCTTTTTTAGAAAATTCTAGAAAAAAAAAATTTCTTTTAAAATTGACAATTGTGCCTCCCCACTTCGAAACCCATGTCGCCGGCGCTGTACATATATACAAGTTGTTGTATATTTCTGATCTTTTTTTGAACTTTTATTAATAAATGTTATACATTATTTAAAACTTTTTCTTCATTCTATTTTATTTGTTTAAATCTTTTGCTAATTAAATTGATTGTTTTGTATGAGACAGTGAATAAAAAAACTAAACATATAACCATCTCGGTGCATAGGAACATGCTCTAAGATCTTGCAACAAATCTTCAAAAACATTTTTTTAATACCAGAATACTCTTAATTGTTTCAAAAAAGTAAAAAACAACTTATTTTACTGGGAGCCTGGGGAGAAACTACGTAGTTTAGGCAAGTGCCTTGTAATTTTATTTTTTAAGATAGGTAACTAATAGCCATGTGGCATACTCAAGTTTCTAGTATGTTTATACTGGTATCAAATCAGGATGACTTTCAAAAAGGGTAGGTAATTGGAGCTCATCAACCCCGTTCCAATCCCTAATTGTCCCTTTTCTTAAACTACGTCTCCTAAAATCATAAAGTTTTTTTTTTTAAGTTATATCATGAATTAGATCAAAATTTATTGAAAGATTTCAAATTTCACTAAAAAATCTCCTTTCTTTACCATAAGAAGTTTCTTTAAGATTTATGACCATAAGAAGTTTAAAATTCCGCTCATTTACCCCCTGCAAATTCCGCTCATTTACCCCATGAAAATTTTACCCCCCTGCAAATTTTGAATGGTCCTAACTTTTAAAATAAATTTTTTTTTTTTATGAAGTTTAATATCTGTCGATGAATTTTGATCTAGTTTAATATAAAACATTTTTTGAAAAAGTTCATTTAGGAAGACTAGGGGTAGGAGCGTGGGATATAGGAAGACTAGGGGAAGAGCGTGGGATTTAGGAAGACTAGGGGTAGGAGCGTGAGTGTTTAGAGATTTGATAATCTAACACTACAAAATTACATTAAAAAAATCAAGACTTCAAAGGTTCAAGTGTACACAAAACTATTATACTCGTCTTTTTGTCTCCATTGAACAAAAATATCATAATCTGTGGATAATTTTAGAGAAATAAAACATTTTTTTTCATAGGTTATACAGTATTTGAAGATCTAAAGGTTTTGCTTCAAGTAATAGTAAAACAAACAGCAACATCATAGAACCCTTTTGCTTGAAAGTATAGACAGCTTTGACAACTTTGTTATTTCATGAATCAATTAGAAAACACAATTAGAAAAACGATATATACTCTACTTATATCAAAGATATAGAGCAGTTCTTTACGAATTATAGAAATCTAGGGGCTTCAAGCTAGGAGCTACAATTCCTTTAAAGGTACTTATAGTTGAGCAACATATTATCGAATTCATCAACATGAAAGGTGGAGTCTTTGGTATGATAAATAACTTTGTTAAAAAAAATTGTTAAAAAAGATTTTACTAATATTAAGTATAAAACTAACAATTAAAAACTTATTATAATAATATTACAAAAGTTTTACAAAACTAAAGTATTACAAAAATCTTCATGTTCCGTAGGCTTATGTTAAATCTTACATTTCATGTTCCGTAGGCATATGTTAAATCTTACATTTCATGTTCCGTATGCTTATGTTAAATCTTACATTTCATGTTCCGTAGGCATATGTTAAATCTTACATTTCATGTTCCGTGGGCTTATGTTAAATCTTACATTTCATGCTCCGTAGGCTTATGTTAAATCTTGCATTTCATGTTCCGTAGGTTTATGCTAAATCTTGCATAGACTTCATGTTCCGTAAGCTTATGTTAAATCTTGCATAAACTTCATGCTCCGTAAGCTTATGTTAAATCTTGCATAAATTTCATGTTCCATAGACTTAAGTTAAATCTTGCGTAAACTTCATGTTCCGTAGGCTTAGGTTTCTGGACCGAGCAAACTCTCGAATCTATTCACTAAGATTTCTGTCAGTTTTGGCAAATGAAAAAAGGAGAGCACAGTTTAAACTATATTAAAGCGCTAAAAAACGTAGTTGTTGCTTACAACTACAAAATATTTTTAAAGTATCTGTAAATTTTCGGGTAGTTTGTAAAAATTACAATAACAATCTCCTATGAACAACTAACATAATTTTTTAATATATATTATGATGATAACAACATGCAAAATAAAAACAATAATCTAACCACATAAAACAGAAAATTTTTTTTACGGCAAAAAAGCAGTTGTTAATTAAAACCCTATTGGATTTCTAATAACCCAGCCCTAGGGTATGTAAAATTTTTTTTTTGTGTGTGTTATAATAAACTAGATTGAAATTGATCCACAATGCTAAATTAAAATGCTAAAAAAAATTTCTCGTTCAAAAGTTACGACCATTTAAAGTTATTTCAGTAAATGAACCGAGTTTTAAATTTTTTATGATCATAAAATCTGAACGAAAGGAGATTTTTGGATGAATTTTGAAATCTATTGATAATTTTTGATCTAATTCATGATTCAATCAATTTTAATGATCTTAAGAAACGTAGTTCTAAGAAAGGGGCAATTAGGGTTCGGGACGGTATTGGTTTAGCTCTAGTTACCTAACTATTTTTGCAAGTCAAGCTCATTTGATACCAGTATCAACATTCTAGAAAATTGAATATGCCATATGGCTCTTAGTTACTTGAAAAATAAATACTGGGCACTCGCTTAAAATACTTAATATTTGATTTCCCAGGCTATTAGTAAAAAAAAGTAGTTCTTACATTTTTGGAATAAGGAGGAGTCTTCTGATTATGTAAACCACAACACGATCATATTGTGGGTTTACAAATGCATATTATATAATAAATATGAAATATGAAGCATATTAAACATATAAACATATTCACTTAAAATATTCTACAACACAATTAAGATAAAATTAAAATTGCAGAGTGACAAAAGACAACCCAGTGGGAAATCGAATAGCGAATAGTTAGCTATAATTTTAACAATAAAGACAGCTATATGGCCTCGATAGGAGAACAGCAGCTTAAAAAGCTAAAGACCCACTGGCTATTGTAGCTAGTGTTATATCGTATTAAAATCTCTGTCAAAAAATTTATATGTAAATATCAACCAGCTACAGATTTGTAGATATTTTGTAGCTAGCTACAAAATGACAATATTTAGCTGGCGACACATTGCTACAAAATCACAATGCTTAAAGTTCAATTATTCTCATAATTATAATAGACTAAACACTAAGAATCGAATTTTTAAATATGATAAAGAAATTAGAAAAAAATAAAGTAAGAAAAAAAAATCGCTTGAAAATCGCTATAAAGCTAAAATATCTTTAATAGCTATTTGATTGTCATAATATATTTTAAGAAATTTTCCAATTAAACTTTTACCACAAGTAGTTACAACAGGGTTGAATCCCAAAGGTGCTTTTGAATTTTGAAATCATTTTTGTCTTGTTATACTAATTTTATTGTAAGTGACATTTTAATAGCTTGAACCCGATCTGAGGTACTATCTTCTAATAATATTGAATAGTATTTATTAATTTTAGTTTCTTGAACAATATGGTCTGTAATCTGAACTCTATTAAAATATTATTAACCAAAAATGCATATTGGTTTGCTAATGCCAAACGGGTTGCATATGAACGGGTCGCATATGAACGGGTCGCATATGATCGGCAAAACTTTATTTAAAAAAAAGATTTTTCTTCTTCGACTAATTTTCCTTTCCATCCTTCTTTTGTTAGTCGTTTTGTTTATTTATTTGTTTATCATTTTCAGAGTTTGGCTTTTTATTTCCAACTAATTAAATTGTAGTTATCATTACTTTACAATTCACAACCGGGTACTAATTTACAACCGAGTACTAATTCACAACCGGGTACTAATTAAAACCACATAAATGGATGAGTTATTGTTAAACAGTAAACTTAAAGTTTACAATCAAATTTGAAATGTTAAAACATAATGAATTAGTTTTTGACATTTTACAGACCTATAATTTAAAAGTTAAATTAATAAACATTCATTATGCGAAAAAACGTTCGATATTTGAAAGTTAAATAAATTTCAAGGTAGATTTGTTTATAAAATTAATATTCTATTGTATAAAAATGCTTTTGTCAAAATGTGTCTCAAGAGACTCCTAAGAAAAAAAGTAAACTAAAATTCAGACCCAAATGGTGAAAAAAAAAAGCATTTGTATAATTTTTTTGTAATTTCTTTAACAAAATCAAAATATATTTATGAACTTCAAGTTTCATAAAAATTTCTTATTTGCTTTAAAAGTCATAGTCGTATTCTTTTGGATGGCAGGATGGAAAAGGCGGGCATACCTTGTAAATTATAATACATTTTTTTTTAATTAAACGCTACTAATTAAATTTCATTTCTTTTAAATTAACAAAAAAGTAATTTTTTAGTTTATTATATTTTTTGTCTGTTAGAGATTGATGCCCTTGATACTTTTTTTTTTATGTACCCTTTATCTAAAAGCAACATTTTTTGAGAAAATAACCTTATTTTACTTTAGTATATGTATTAAAAAATTTAAGGCCTGGTAGTTTTTTTTTCACAAATCAAATTTATCACAAATTAAACATATTATTGAGTACTTATTCAGCAGTTAAAAACTCTTCAGTAATTGGTCGATGTTGTTGACAAGACTATTCACAGGCTTGAGAATGTTTTTTCTAGAAGTTCTCAGTTCGTCAAGAGTGAATTTTTGCATTTTGATTTGTCTGTTGTCGCACGTCTTCTCTGTTTGATATTAGGAGGAACAATGAGACTCAAATTACATATTTTGCTGAGGAGTTTACTTTCAGGTAATGAGTCTAGTATTTCAATATCAGACTGTCACAGGTCCTCCATGCCATTTACAATCTTCCAGCACTCTTCAAGTCCTTTTCTAGTTTTTTGGCCTGCTTCACTTCATCAGACATCCGTGCCCATTTCCATTTCTTTCTCTTGTCCCGCATGCGAACTTGGTAAATGATGAATTTTTGAAGTAGACCATTTCTCTTCACTACATTTTTTTCTAGATAACGTAGTGACGGTTGTGAAGCTACCATATATTATTCTCTCGGTTGTCAAATTTTTCAAATTCTGATTCATACCCTAGTTAGTGAGAAGTGCCAGTTTCAATTTTTTGCAAACCATATCTGTATTTTTGAAGAAGTTCATTTCAGATAACTGTCTAGCGTTTCTTATACTTCTTTCAGAATAGCTCAAGTTCTAAAACGCTGCGTCTTGAAGATACTTATCAATGCATCGTGGACTGGGATTTGGACCAATTCAATATAAATACTATGTTCGCTGTAGTCACAATGATTCCAATGAGATCATTTCTGTTTACCTTGTAGTCCGCAATGCACTGAAATGTGCATCATATCATTCGTTCATTGACAGTGTGACGACAAATTCGTATTTTCATTTTTAGAATTGAACAATGATCTGGCGCAAAGTAGCCCGTCGTTGAGGTTGTTGCTCCAGTTTCCTTTGGTACAACTTGTCTTTTGTACATACGTCGAATGCGTGTTTAGTCATGTTGTCTTTAAAATCATTTACTTTTACGTACCATTCGTCCAATTTGTAATTATTTTTATTTTTTTCTTGTTTGCTGAATTTGATGAACAGTGCAAAAATTCTTTGCAACATTATTGACTTGTAAAGGATAAATATTCTTCGCAATCCAATCTTTAATAAATACAGTTTTACAAGCAGCCTCTTGAGACAGAGTCTTTTTTCCTGGTTACGTGGTGCACAGATGAAGCATTCGATCTAACATGTGTGCTCCAGTCTGGAGTTTAGGTTGACCGATGGCCTCAGGGTTCACCCGTTTTAATAACCATTATAACAACTAGTCTAGCTCAATTTACACTATTTTTATTTATTGTTTTTAACTTTTATTTTATGTTTATTTTCTTCTTATTTATAGTTTATTGTTAATATAAACTTATTTGCAAGTTATAAATTACTTTTTTAACAATATTACATAGTGTCATAAATATTGAAATTAACAATGATCTTATAATTGTTAGTAATTAATAAAATCATTTTTTTTTCAGAGTTTATTTAGTATGAATCTGCATTTTAATATGCTAACTAAATTTCTATTATTAAATTTTATAATATCATTCTTTTACGTCTGTCATGCAAACTTTTTGAAAAACTGCAACTATATATATGAAGTGAACAGCAAAGTCACAGTGACAACTAGCTATGTCAACAACACAAGCTACTGGAATACTTATCAGAACATTAGATCAGCACTTGAAGATGTATCTCTGTTTAAAAAAAACGGAACATGTATCTTATTACAGGAAAATCAAGTACTACCTTCTAATCAGATGTTAACTTTTCTTTATGGGTTCTCAATCATTGGGGCTAAGAGTAATATTTCGATTTCTTGTCTTGGAGACGCAGGATTTTATTTTTATAAATCTGAAAATATTTCTTTCCGAAATTTAATTTTAAAAGAATGCGGGTGTCGAGCGCAAAACATATGGTTAGAAGGGGGAAAAAATACTAAGCAAACTGTGTCGTCAGCGATATTTTTGTTAAATATACGCAACATAAGTATAGTTAATGTTACGATTTTTAACAGTGTTGGTTTTTCAATGGTGCTAATCAATGTTTCTGGGACAGTATCTCTTTATCGATTTACGGTCCAAAACAATACTAAAATATTTAACTCAGAAACAAATTTTTATTCAGGAGGCGGCGTTTTAATTTACCAGAAACCTTCGTACACAAAATTGAAAGCGTTTATTTATATAAAAAAATGCAGTTTTTATTTAAACAAAAATGAGCGTCAACGTTACGGATTTTTAAATGAAGATATGTTATACAGTGTTGGAGCCGGACTGATTGTATTCTTTGGAGATTCTGCGGAAAACAATACACTTTTAATAAGCAACTCTGAATTTATAAAAAATGAAGGGTTATATGGAGGAGGTTTGCTGATTTGCTTTTTAAAAAACTCAAAAAATAATAAAGTGTTTATTTTAAATTCAACCTTTATTCAAAACAAAGCAAAATTACAAGGAGGAGGACTACTAACATACTCTCAGACTGTGTTTACAAACTTTGTAAAAATTTTTGGTTGTAGTTTTTTTGAAAATGCTGCAACGTTTGGAGGTGCTTTGAGTCATTACAGTGAAAAGAAAGTTGTTGACTCCTTTATTCAAAACAGCGAGAATAAGCCTGCAGAGTTTTTTAGTATTTTTAGCGAGAAAAAAACAATGAGAATCATTATCAATAACTGTACTATTTCAAAAAATTATGGAGAGATAGGGGTAGGTATTTATGCTGAAGATGTTTTTCTTCAGCTCTCTTCCATAATTCTTTCCAACAGCTCCATTCCGTGGAGTAATCCACTTGTTACTGGCCAAGGTGCTTTATTTTCCTACCATAGCAAAGTTGAACTTAGAGATAAAAATATTTTTACCTCAAATAATATTACCGCTATAATATTGGATATTTCAAAAACTATCGTTGAAGGAAACATGGAAATTTCGAATAATTCTGGGTTTGAAGGTGGAGCAATAGCTATGTACCAGTATTCATCTCTAGATATTCGCAAAGACACAACTATATCTTTCTTAAACAATTGGGCATTATCCTTTGGAGGAGCTGTTTTTGTAAAATCCGAAACACAGTATAATTTAGAATTAGAAAATGATTTAAAAAATACATGTTTTATGAAAATCAACCAAAGCTCACTAGTGACTTTTAATAACAATACATCTCAACTAGAAGGAAAAAATGATATTTTTACATCTACCTTTGCTGATTGTAATAAAAATCATAATGAGACAGTATTAGCGCATTATTTTAACACAAAAAGTTTAGCAAGCAATCCCACACGAATAGAAATAAAAAATGAAGAATGGAATAATGTGTATCCGGGAAAGTTACTTGAACCTAATATTTACCTTTTTGATGAGCTTAACAATAGTGTAACTGGTTATATCAAAATCATTTTTAATAACAAAGTAGTATATTGGGGTCTTAACTCTAATATTTTTTTTTCTGTTAAAGGAAACAACAGCACACCATATAATGTTTCAATTCAATCGGGAAACGTTACCATAAATACTAAAGTCGAGCTGATTAACTGTCCATTTGCTTACTCCAGAGAAAATGACGTTTGTTTTTGTAGCCAGAAACAAAACATTCCGAATGGATTGTTTTGCAACTCCAACGGAAGTATATCAATATCTTGCGGATTTTACACTAACTTAACTGGGACTGGTAAAGAGACTACTCAAAAGTGCCCATGTGGGTATTGCAAGTTATGTGATGCCGAAAAAAACGTTCGACTGTTAGATACAAATCTTAGCAAAATAGACGATCAATGTAATGATAATAGAAAAGGTTATTTATGCTCAGAATGCATGCCAAACACTTCACTAGCATTTGGAAGTGAAAAATGTAAGAAATGTAATAAGTTTTTTACATGGATTGTAATATTTTTTATGTTAGGCCCTTTTTTTGTGGTGCTGTGTTGCGCTATTTTCCTGAATGTTTGTATTTATGAAAGCTGGTTTAATTCAACTATCTATTTCTATCAGGTTTTGCAGTACATTGACAGTGAAATTGTTGACAAAAGTAATTTATTAACATTTTTAGTTGGATTATTAAGTGTAAGTAAGTTTAAACAAGATATTTTTGAACTATGTCTTATAGAGAGTTGGAATAATCTTGATAAGTTGGCACTTGAATATTTAATCCCAGTTTCAATGTTCTTATCTTTATTTATACAAAGAAGCTGTTGTAACGTACTTATACTGAAGTGGAGTAGCTGTTTTCACAAGAACAAACCTGAACATCTTTTAAAAGTACTTCCATTAATTTTAATATTAACCTACGCCGATCTGTTAAGAATCTCTTTTTTACTTTTGCAACCTGTAGCTTCGTTAGGAAATTATCTTCCATTTATGTATGCATCTGTTTCCTACGGAACAAAAAGCCATTTTCGGTATTTACTTATTGCAGTAATATTCTTAATTATATTGGCTGTATGCCCACTGATATTAATTCGTCAGTTAAGAATAAATCGTACATTTCAACCTGCTTTAATTGACGCATTTGGTGGCGAGTTTAAAAGTAATGCATTTCACCAAGGGTTTGCATCATTTTACTTTTTTGCCCGAATTATAATTATTGGCCTAGGCACATTTTTAACAAACCAATTGGATATGCATACTGCAATTACTTTGATTTTAGTTATTTTTCTGGTTGTTTTTACATTTACATTTCCATTCAAAAACAATACAATAAATTATTTTGATTCGTTTGTCCTATTTTTACTTGCATTGTTGGGCACTATAAAGATTGGAAAACTCAGCCTCCCATTAAACAACGAGTTTTATCATTTATTTGAAAAAAGACTTGAAAAAGCTACTTTTGTACTTTCATTATCACCGGCTATTATGGTTGTTTTTAGATGCTCGTATCTTGTTTACAAATCAAGATTTTGGACAAGTAAGTTGTAACTTATTATTGATATTTAAAATGAGTTTTACTCTTCAGATTACCAAAACAGTAAAAAACTAAAACAAATTGGTTTTTTTTGGTTTCCTACATATTATTTATATTTTATTTACTTAATGTTTATCGTAAGAAATAAAATCTTATAAACAGTGCAACTTTTACTTTTATTACTAGCAGAAAGCTACCCGTACACTGTAAAGCCGAATGGTTCATTAAAGAACCTTAAATGCTTCTTGAAGTTGGTGCTGAGGGTGAACCCGTAGAGGTTCTTTAAAGAACCTTTTGTAGGGGTTCTTCGGAAGAACCTTACCGTAAGATTCTCTAAAGAACCCTAATCGGTTTTTTGAAGAACCTAAGGGTTTTTGAGAGTTCCGATAAATCATCCAGAGAGGCTCTTCGAAGAACTATAAAAATAACCTCTTTTTTAAAGAAATACTTCAGATTCAAGACATCTGACTGACAAAATAGATGTTCAGTACACAAATTTTGAAATATATTTCTGAAAAAAAAACTAATTAAAGAATAATAATTGATAGATTTTAGACTATTTATTTTATTACAACTTATTATGTGTTAAACTTTTTTAATTAAGTTGATCCAAAAATAAAAATCACGGGATAAAAATAATATATCGTTAAGTTTTGAAGCAAAATAAGGAATCAAACAACGACTAGATTAACGAAGCACATATGTTACAAGAAAAACAAAAATTACAAAATAATTTAAAAAAATTGCTTTATTTTCAAACTACAGTTTAATCTGAACCGTATCGCATCTTTCATATGCTCGTTTTTTACTTTCAATCGCAGATTCTATTGATGATTGAAAATCTGTGAATATTAATATCTGTGATATTGATGAAACTCAAGAAAATCCATTAAAGATTTGCATAATTCAGATTCCCTTAATTAAAATTAGCTAAACCTAAACAAACAATTGATGATATATAAAAAAATATAATTAATATATATTTATATATATATATGTATATATATATATATATATATATATATATATATATATATATATATATATATATATATATATATATATATATATATATATATATATATATATATATATATATATATATATATATATATATATATATATATATATATGAACGTATATATATTTATATATATATACTTATATATATATATATATATATATATATATATATATATATATATATATATATATATATATATATATATATATATATATATATATATATATGTATACATATATATATATATATATATACATGTATATATATATATATATATATATATATATATATATATATATATATATATATATTTATGTATATACTTATATATATATATATATATATATATATATATATATATATATATATATATATATATATATACATATATATATTTATATATATATATACTTATATATACTTATATATATTTATATTTATATACTTATATATATATATATATATATATATATATATATATATATATATATATATATATATATATATATATATATATATATATATATATATATGTATATATATATACTTATATATATATATATATATATATATATATATATATATATATATATATATATATATTTATATATATATATATATACACACACACACACACAGTAGAGTCCCTATATAATACTTATATAGGGACTCTCTATATAAGTATTATATAGGGAATAAACTTCAACTTATACAAACATATACATATTTTTGTGTGAGAATTAAGATAAAGATTTTATAAGTTTATGTTAGGCAGCCATCTTTATTGCTTTTGTTCAATGATCTTATTATTATTATCAGTTTCATATTTAAATTAATAAAATGACTTAAAAAACTGAAATAAAATGACTTAAAAAACTGAAAAAAAAACTGAAAATTAAAAAATAACATAGAGTTGATATAAAAAAGTTAAAAATAAATCAACATCAACCTCGTACAAAGTATTTGCCATTCTGCGAATTGTTACAGGGATTTCTTTGTTTGATACACCAAATATGATGTGCTCATAAAATAATAAGGTATTTTTTAATTGAACCAGGTTTTTTATATTGTAAACAAAATAGGAGGCAAATATACAAGCCATCCCTAATGAGATATCAACATCATTATGATGTTCAACTATTTCTTGGCCATCTATTATAACACAACAAAAATTGATGTCAGCTTTGGACCTCGGAGGATTACAATGGTAGGTGTATTCAGCGTTATGGTGTTATTAAAAGTAACCAAGGCTTCAACAGACTCTTTGAATAACCGTGGCAATATTAGAATAGCTCCATTCAATGTAGCATCTAAAATAGTAAAATAACAGAACCATAAAAACAGAAATAGAAAATACAATTCAGCAAAAAAAAACATAAACATTATTTAGCTATGAAAAGCAGAAACTTTTTGTAATACAATGAACTCTCGATATCTCGATTACTCGATATTTCAAACTTTTAAGTACCTCAAACTTTTTTTGATTCCTATTGAACCCTAACTTATGGATTATACTCTCGATAAATCAAACATTTGCTATCGCTAACTAACTTCTTGGTCCCGAGGAGGTTCGAGAAATAGAGAAATTACCTTTATTACCTTTTTTAGTGCTTTCATCAATTTCATGCTCAATTTCAGCAAATATTTCAGAAATAAAACCGTCTTTACACTTTAATTTTATCAAGGTTAAGATTTTATCTTCCATACCCTTCATCCATTGATGAAGCTCTTTATCTAAGAAGCTTTAATATCATTATAATAAAAATTATTTTTGAGTTAAAACACAAAAAATAAAATAAAGAGAACAGTTAAAAGAATACCAATTCAGCAGAGCAGATCCATGGGTATTTAGCTTTTAGGTCGACCATCAAAATCCGTTGCTCGCACAAACCAACTACATTTTTGGCGATCAATTAGCATTTTCATGTCTGGACGAAGTTTACGATATTCCATTAACATATCTTTGCTACAGTTAAATCATCCTCACAAATAGGAAGAGAATGTGGCTTAAAAAAAGTTATTTTTTAGGAATTATTTTATTTTTTTTTAATTATATACCCCCGCCTCCCTCAAAAAAAAAAAAAAGGCCTAATATTTACAAAGTCTTTATGTGTCCTACTACAAGCTTCTTCATTCTCAAGACAATCTTCTGCGCGTTTGCGTCCACTTCCTGGATTGCCAAATGTGCGTTTATGGATAGCAACAGCCTCAATATTGATTAAAGGGAGTCTTTCTTTCTTGAACTTGTTTTTTAGACTTTCCGATTGCGTAGGCTGCCATTATAAGTAAACTTATTTGACATATGCATTCAGATTGTATAAATTATATACATATGCTGTATATAATTATGCATATATGTATACGATATACATTATATATACATATACACTTAAAATATATTATATATTCTTATAACATTATATAATTTATATTATTTATTTATATTAGCAAAAGGCAACCCGTAATACGGGTTTTGGTCGGTCTGTTACATAATTAATTTATAGTGGCTGTTTTCCACAATTTAATCTTGCAAAACCTTAACTAATACCCTTTTAGAAAATCGCCTTCAGCTTGAAAAAATTAATCCATCTGTAAAATTAACATAAAAATTATGAGGAGGTAAAATAATTTACCAACTACTACTTAACATTTACAATTACTACTTAACATTATTTAAGTAATTTACAAATGGCATAGGTCATAACAGTGTAAGGCAGAACCATTTTCATCGACCTTCCTAAATTTAACACAATACGTTTTTAGTTACTGACACAAAATAATAACACTTGGTCATGCTTTAAATTGACGAAAGTGTCAACTAAATCCTTGTAATAATTTTTATAACACGAACCATTAAGATTAAAATGAAGTTAACTTATATTATAGAGGAGTTATCAATTTTTTGGTATTCCCTTGATTAATTGTTATTTAGAAAAGAAAATTGTTTACTTAAAAATGTTAAATGCACACATTTAAATAAATTTATAAAAAATAACAAAGTTTATTATAACTATGCATCTGAGTACAAATACCTTTCAAACAAAAAAAATTTAATTTACGATCAAACACGGGTATAACAAATCTTTTAATACATTAATGTATCATATGACAAACTAAAATAAAAATTATAAGAGATAAGTAGACATAAAAATTTGTAAACTAAGCTGACCCGACCCGGGTCTTGTTGAGTCTGTTCAACACCATTTCTATATTATTTGTTTGGCCTCTTTATTTTATTAAATTTTTAGTAAACGGTAACTTGCCACCATTTACTAAAAATTCCTTTAGTAACTCGAAATTTAATTTTCCTAAATATTTTGACTCTAATAAAGAGGTTCCTTCCCTCTTTTTGCTTTAATGGTGGCCAGATGAATAAAATAAAATAATAAAATGTAAAACAATGATCTATTTATATAAGAATGTTTTCTTTCTTTCCTCAAAAGTGTTGCAAATACAGACTAAGCTAACTAATTAGTTAAACACATAAATAAAACTTAAGTAACTCGATATTAATGCGCAAAACTACAATATTCTTTATATTTTTAAAGGTTTTTAGTTACGACCCCCCATTTACAAAGATCCCCTTAAAATACGTATAACAAATTATTAGGCATAAAATAGATAAAATATAAAATTAACTAATAGCATATATTTATATCTTTTTAACTAACAAAAATTTACAATAAAAAGAAATCAGGTTTTTTTATTTTATAAATCTTATAAATGCGTCATAACGTAATTCTAAAATAAAAAAGTAATGAAATTATGATATCATAATTACGAAAAAAAAAAACCAACAGAAACCACCACACAATTACCAAATATCGATTTACCTATTTATAGTAACCTAACCTTTAATTGCAGTTAAAGATTTATCGAAAATGTAACTAAAAAACCTGTTTCGAAGTACCAAAGCATTAACAATACTAAAAAAAAAAATCAAACTAAGATATAAATTGTTGTTTTGGCTTTTATAATT